CATAAAGTTCGTAAATAGACCTTAGAAAGTTGCAGCTACGTTTATTCCGTTCGCACACAGTTTAAAACCAGTTTTGAATAACGCAGTGGCAACTTGTTTGGTGTGATAGCTATATTTTTGCTAACTCGTTCATAAGCAGTTTTAAATACGTTCTTAATCAGTTTAAACCCGTTTGCAATCAGTTCTACCTCGTTCTCAACACGTCCTCAGACAGTTCAACTCGTTGTTAAAACGTCCCTAGTAGGATTGAAGTACGACGGTTCCATTCGTAGTACGTCCAGCTCGTCGTTAGTACGTTGTCACTCGTTCTAATTGTAGAACGTGACGACCACGAGAACAATTTGAGCATTGTCTAAGTTCTAGACGACCTACCCGTTCGAGTACGTTCGATGAAGTTTGTAAATAGATCCCAAACGGTTCTTCACAGGTCCAGTCCGTTCGTACACAGTTGAAGCCCGTTTTCGAGAACGTAGTGAGAACTAGTTTTGAATCGATTCAAAATTCTGAATCACATTCCTCTTCTGGGAAAGTCCATGGAGTTCGTAAACAGACCGTAGAACGATGTAGCTACATTATTCAGTTCGCACACAGTTTAAAAGCAGTTTTGAAGAACGCAATGGCAACTTGTTTTGTGTGATAGCTATACTTTTGCAAACTCGTTCATAAGCAGTCTTAATCAGTTTAAACCCGTTTGCAATCAGTTCTACCTCGTTCTCAACACGTCCTCAGACAGTTCAACTCGTTGTTAAAACGTCCCTAGTAGGATTGAAGTACGACGGTTCCGTTAGTAGTACGTCCAGCTCTTCGTTAATATGTCACCCGTTCTAATTGTAGAACGTATCGACCACGAGAACATTTTGAGCATGTTCTAAGTTCTAGAGGACCTACCCGGTCGAGTACGTTCGATGAAGTTTGTAAATATACCCCAAACGGTTCTAAGTACGTCCAGTACGTTCGTACACAGTTGAAGCCCGTTTTCGAGAACGTAGTGAAAACTAGTTTGGTGTGGTAGTAGGGTAATGATGGTAAAAGATTTTCGAAAAGTGCTCGATTTTTCGTAGTCAATCTACTCATATAATTGGTCGGTTGAAAAATGTTGTTTTTTACACATTTCCTTTGATCATTTCCTCCCCTGTCGTCTAAGAGTGTCGAATATTTTATGAGAATATGTTTCTTTAAACAACACATTTAAGGTATGTTGACGATTTAATAAGTATTTAAGTTTTGGCTATAATTTAAAAAATCATAAGTGTACGTTGTCAACTCGAATTTACGTTGTTCCATGGAACTTACTCAATTCACAGTTAACCCTAATGCAGGCAACGTCATTTTCATAGCACTAACAGACAGGGGGGGGGGTCAGATGCACTTAAAATTGAAACAGAACAATTGCATAATTACTTCAATTTAATAGAATAATTGGAACTATTGAGCACTTTCCAGATATATCATTAACGGGATTTAAAAAGTCATATTCAATAAGCTAGTATAGATCTATCTATAAAACGTAATGTACAGACGCCAAATAATCAAAGAGGCCGCTGGAAGCAAACTCCATGGCAGTGCTTGTCTTCAACATATTCTATTCCGAGACACTGGATGGGAGTTTTGGCTGGAAGCTAACACCAAATGGGTATAAATTAACCACCACCACAACAATACTTTCATAAAATGAAAAAGCACAAGGGATACTTGAACATGTTCGTTAAAGATCACTTGTTACTCATAAAAACCTTAATGAATTTTGAAATGAAATCATTACATTGTTTAATACATGAATTTCAATTACAGGGACAACGTACATTCGAGTTGACAACGCACATTTCTGATTTTTTTAAATTACAATAAATACTTATATTTATTAATCTCCACCCGTTCTAAATTGTGCAATTTAGAGAAACATATTCTCACAAAAATAATTGACACTCTTAGGCGACAGGAGAAAACGATCAATGGAAATGTGAAAAACCCAACATTTTCCAACCGATCAATTTCTGTTGGTAGATTAACTACGAAAAATTGAGAAAGTAATCGTAATCGTAATCAGAAAGCTAAAAGTGTTCAAATGCGAATTAACACGAAATTAAACATGAAATCCTTCAAGTATCCTTCAAGTAATTTTTTAAAACCTACATCACACCTGCATCATACTTTTTGCTTGAAATCAATTAATAGTGACACCGTATATCTAAAGTGTACAACGGTATATTTTGTCACTGTTCCTTGTCGATGGTTAGGCGTGTATTAATCCCATAATATATTTCTGAAACTTGTTTTGTATGTCGTCATTTAATGATTCAATTTAATTTATCGAATGTGTATGTATGTATATATTTATTGCCCTTAAGCTTATTGCCCTTCAGCTTTTATTAATAAGTTTTAAAATAGAGATAATTTATAATACTAATATGGATCATAATATGCCATAATAACACAATATTAAGTCTTATAAAATTCTGATAGTTCTGATACGGGATCTGATACGGTATTTTGGCTGACACGGGATCTGATATTGGATTTTTTGAATATCAGTTTTATTCCCAGTTAATTTCCCAGGGTGAACAAGTTATTTAAGGAATAAATAATGATAGGCCATTCAATATGGTGAAATTCAGCACGAGTTGGACAGAATGTTGTACAAAGCACGAACCGAAGGTGAGTTCATTTGTACTAACATTCTGTCCAACGAGTGCTGAATTTCAAACATAAAAATTAGTAAAAGCCGTGTCTGTGGAACGGGCATGAAGGAAGAATACGCATGCTGTCAAGATTCTGAAGTCGGCCGGAAAAATTTTAGAATTTGTTTGGGCTGTTCTATTTTACTCCCCGTTTTAGATTTTATACGGTGTATGCAAACATGGGGTTGTTTGCAAACGGAGGGAGTAAAAAAGAACAGCTATCCCCGGACAGAGCCCCAGATGTGCAGCTGAGATGTGACGTCACTCAAAACAATGCAAATTGCAGATTGAATAGAGCATGGTCGTGCATCTATGGAGAATTAGAGAACGTTCTATATTGGCTATGCTGCATTCTGATTGGTTGAGAAATTCGAATAGAGCACGGTCATGTTTGAATATGGAATACATACGTTTATTCCACAATAACATGCTTTCCCTGGGAAATAATTAGAGAATATAATTGATATACAAAAAGTCCCATACCAGATCCCGTTTTTTTCAATTGATTTTACCATTGATCTTTTTTCACTTCTAGCAAATTGATACGCATTGTTATTGTCACCAACATTCTTCACTGATTGTGATGCGTATGGTTCCAGACAATCTGGATGGTCATTGCTACATTTATGCAGATGATACCTCATTACACCATCCTTTTGACCCAAAACAACCACAACAAATAGAAGCAGTGGTAAAATCCAATCTAATTAAAGTAGAAGAATGGTCTAACACTTGGAAACTTGATTTTAAACCGGAGAAGAGTTCCGAGATGATTTTTCACTCACCTAGAACAAAAACTGATAATGTGTCAACTTCAAAACTAAACAATATAGAAATCAAAAGAGATACCGAGCACAAACATTTAGGACTCATTTTTGACCCATGTTTATCTTATGATAAGCATATTGGTGATTTACTAGTCAAAATAAGAAAAATGTTAAACTCAAATTCAAGCTTGGGAGCAAGCACCTAGAAACAATCTTCAACTCATTCATTCTTCCTCACTTTGATTATGGTGCCATTTTATATGGCACAGCTTCTAAATTTCTTTTGCGAAGACTCGATAGTCTATATTACACAGCGGCACTCTATTGCTCTGGCTGCATCCAAGGGAGCAGTACAGAAAAGGTCCTAAGTCTCCTAAACTGGCCAACACTTGAATCTAGACGTAGAATACAATCAAATAATTTTATGTTCAAAGTTGCCAATGGTACAAGTCCCTCATATATCACAGACATTTTTGATAAGTATAGTAATGTTAGGAATAGAAACTTGAGATACATTGATCCATTCAAAATGCCCACTGATAAGATGCTCTGCTAGATTCTCATCCTCAGCAATACCTTCTGCAATCTCAAAATGGCTTGAGCTCCCCCCTTCTATTAAAACCAAGAAAACTCTTCATAATTTCAAAAAACACCAACGGCTTTTCCTCCAAAACCCCTCTAAAATTTTGACCACAAGTCAACTCAATCTTTCTAGACGGCATGAGATAGAGTTGAATAAAGTAAGAGCTGACTTATTTTTTAAAGCTCAATTTTATGCCCATAATTTTAACTCTGTTGGCAGCCCTAATTGTGCTTGTGGCAGCTCTCAAACCTTAAAGCATATTATTTTCCAGTGCAATCGCTTAACCTTAGTAAGACAGGATCTCTGGGATAAACTTGCTGAATTAGAACCTTCTCTCAATAATAATCTTCCCCAGTACGATTTTATCTCCATTTTGAAAACAGGAAGCCCAAACTTCAGCATAGATGTAAACTCTAAAGCCATTTCATTGATACTTGACTTCATTATAGACAATAGCTAATTCCCTCCCTCATGTCTCTCTTTCTGATATCCTGTTGTCCTATCACACCTGCTCCGGCCCGGGAACCTGTCTGCCTGCCACCCCCAGCCTCTCACCATTCCTATGTAATGCCCTCTGGCGATTTAGGGATGCTATTGTAATTGTATTTTAAACTATATCAATGAAATAAATAAATAATAAAAAATGCGTATGGTTATATTTTGGGATCTAAGAAGAAGGAAGTATATTAAAGTTTAATGACATGAGTGATCGAGTTAGGTTTTCAGATTCTACAAAATTTAATATGTTTTACGTCAATACCCTGACTCATTTTCTGAATTGATTATTTTTTTCACTTCTGAATTCATTATTCTTTTCACTAGTCGATCAAAAAGAATGGAAACTAAGCGTGCAAAAATATGTCTTATATGGTATGGCTATTTCCGATTCTAAGAACAGGGATGCAAATGGTAATTTAACAGAAGTGAAATTAAATGCAGCTATATATACAGGCCACGATCGCCAAAATATACCGGCAAGGTGTCAAAGAGATACTATGTCTGATATACCAGCAATACAAGCCAGACGATCCGGTGACAGCTTTATGGGTATGTTTAAATACATTATTTATGATGTAGATTATATTTTTAGTTTTATTCGCCTTGGTGGATTTTGAATAAATAGCAAAAATTGCCCTCCCAACAAAGTGTTTGCAGACGATAGTTAGTGTGCATAATAGAGAATTGATACAAAAATTGCAGCTGCGTTAAAAGTTCTAAACCATTTAAATAATTCTGATAATTCACCCCAGCCACATTTGTCGTACGGAGGCCGTGCGTCGACCGCAGATCAATCAAATCAGTGAATTACTGCGGCGAGCGTAGAAAAACTACGCTCGCCTTGCGGTCTCCGTACGGCGTATCCAGTTTTTTACAGGCCGCAGGGTCGCCGTAGAAATTATAACTTGGAGTTATAATATTTGTTCATTTCTGAAGTCCCCGTAGAAATCAACTGGCTTAACAAGATTGAATCATTATTTGTCAAAGTTTCACGATCACTTTTCATTTGATATTACATTCTTGGTATGAATAACATTTATAAATTGTCCTGATGTAAATAAAATGAAAAAAGGATTATTTAGTAACAGAAATTTAAAATTCACCGTGCGGCTGCCGTGGGAAATGTGACTGCAAAAGTATGAGAGCGCAGAAATTCTACGGTGAGCGTAGAAAAGCTACTGGCCGCTGAAATGATAGACCGCACGGCGGCCGTGGGAAATGTGACTGGGGTGTAAATATTTATCTTTTTTGCTTATTTCGCTCGTTGTAGGCAGAATCCCCACGGCATTTTTTCTCACAAACGTGTATCAGTATCATATGTTTTATAAAAGGTACATGTTTGCGAAAAATAGCTCACATGAAAAGACTACAGAATCGTCGATTTAATTCCTCACTTAAGTAACATGAACGGTAAGGGTTAAAAGTGCAGATCTTAACTGTTTTTCGAAATACCGTTTCGGTAACTTAAGTGGGGGATTAAATCGATTAAATCCCGTTGTCTCCTGAACTATTTGTTCGCAAATGTGTACATTTTCTTAATCAAATGATACTGATACACGTTTGTGATAAAAACGTCGTGGGAATTCTGCCTACAACGTGACACGTGAAAAGGAAAAAAGAAAAATCGTGCCTTCGACAATTTGTTACCGAAACGGTTCCAGCGAGTGGATCACCAGTGTACATGGAAGCCTTTGTGTAATAAACTGAGAGTATAAATACAAAATAATACTGAAATGCTATATAATAAATAAAAAATGTTGAGTCAACACATCGGCTGGAAGGTACACAATGCAGATCTCTGTATTTAATGAAAAAATGTTATTTCCATGGGAGAATAATTGAAATATAAATATTAACTTTAATTTGAAAAACAGTTCTTCATTTTTTAATACAGCATGTATTTGTCTAATACGGTGGCGACGAGGAATTAAACACGGTAAAAGCGTAAGGCATTTTTTCTTTTGTATCTTCTAATGCTTCCAAGCCGTATGTATATAAATAATTTTTCTACACGATGTAAATTCAAAATAAAAAACATCAATCGCCTATGGATTCTACCAGGCGTCCGTCCATCCGTTGGTTGGTCCGTCCGTCCGTCCGTCCGTCCGTCAACATTGGCCGCGCACAAATTAAAACTGCTATACGGATTGAGTCATATCCACATTCATTTTATGCATATCCACAATGCCTATTTGACCTATCATCGCATTTCCCAAATTCGCCCGGTTTCCGAGAAATTGCTGATTTTGACGTCAATAAGTCAAATTATCTGTAAATACTAGACACTTTGTTCGTCCGTCCGTCAAAATTGGTATTAAATTTTGGATGTAGATTTTGGTCACCTTAATCACAAAAGACCAACTGAGCTCTGAATAAGTAAAATGTTCAAGGTCAAAGGTCTTTAAACTAGGTCACAAACTGTGCTATCTAAGTTTCTCAAAGCTCGAGACTACCAATCAAAACCAATAATTTTGTTTGAAAATCAGGATATACATTCCTCTGAATGTTCTACACTGTGTGAGCACAGAACCGTGTGTCCTTTATATGTTTTCAGTGCATTTTTCGAAAATACCAATTTTGACCCTTCAAATAATAATAATCTTTAATTGTTGATTCTCATGCTGCCGTTGCTTACATTGCCAAAAATACATGCTTTTTACGACAAAATCCGCAATGATAATTTTAGATGGATTTCATAATTTACTTACATGTTTCAAAATTCTTAAAAAATGGCTTTTGTTCGCTATCTTGAAAAACGTAATTGATTTATTTGCGTTAGAAGGAAGTTACTTAAAAATCCGCAATTTTAATTCATTTCATAATTAAATGTTTCTAAATTCTTTAGAAATTAATGTGCCTTTTGTTCGCTGTCTTGAGAAAACGATTTCGGGCAAATGTGATTGATTTATTTGCGTGACAGTGATTTATTAATAAATATATGTATATATAAAACGTTTTAGCATGTGATTTATGATTATCGAAAACAGAGTTTAAAGTGTTCTTGAGAATAACTCTTTAGAAAATATCTTTCAAAACTGATTATCAACTAAGTTTAGCCAAAAAAGGTCCACCCGAAGAAATGTTAATAACTCAGTCAATCAGCATGGGTTTAAAAAGTCATATCTGGAACAAAAAATCATGCTCCAAATGTCAGCCTCGCCCCTCAAGGAAGAATTTCGTTGCTTACAAATGTCTTGTGTAACACCCCAGTCACATTTCCTACGGCGACCTTGCGGTCTATCATTTCTGTGGCCAGTAACATTTCTACGCTCGCCGTGGAATTTCTGCGCTCTAATACTTTTGCAGTCACATTTCCCACGGCAGCCGCACGGTGAATTTTAAATTTCTGTTGATAAATAATACTTTTTTCATTTTATTTACATCGGGACAATTTATAAATGTTATTCATAGTGCTAGGATGTAATATCAAATGAAAAGTGATCGTGAAACATTGACAAATAAAGATTCAATCTTGTTGAGCGAGTTGATTTCTACGGGGACCTCAGAAATGAACATATACTATAACTACGAGTTATAATTTCTACGGCGACCCTGCGGCCTGTAAAAAACTGGATACGCCGTACGGAGGCCGCAAGGCGAGCGTAGTTTTTCTACGCTCGCCGCAGAAATACACTGATTTAATTGATCTGCGGTCGACGCACGGCCTCCGTACGACAAATGTGACTGGGGTGTGAGTTGTCAAACACATCTTAAATATTATACAATTCACATTAAAAACGAGACTTCAATGAGATTTCAAAACTTAATAGCAAAGCTTTTATTTAATTTCTATGCACTTCCAGTTTGTCATGCATGTATCATGCTATTGTCATTTTATGATTATTCATAAAATATGCATGTTGTCATCACTAAACGATTACTTGACACGTTATAAATATCAAAACAATTTATGCTTCATTTCTAGCTGTGAAACATACAATGTTGCGTTTCAAAAATCTCGTGGACTTAACAGTTGAGAAAGTTAACATCAGATATGCATACACAGCGAGACAATTGGATATGCAGACTTCATATATAGAAAATCTCGTTTCGGACATCAGAGAGAAAGTAGGTCAGCGGGAACCTTCACTGGTAACCAAGGAACAGATAAATCGCGGAAGCTACTACGACAAAACTAAGATACTCAGACCTGATGAGTATGATTATGAGCCGATACTTGATTTTTCTGAACATATAAGCAATGTTACAGATTTAATAGAGGATGAATCGATGCCTAGTTTGAAGGATCAAGGATACAAAACCATTCGATTCCAAGAAAAAAAATTGCATAAAGGTGTACGCCAGCAGCATTTGATACGTAGGCCTACACCACCAAATGGTGACGTTGAACTTAAGTGCCGAGAGCTGCTAGCTAAGATACGCCAAGTCGTTAACAGGGTGCTTGAGGAAATGCAAAGGGACGGATCTGGAAGAGTGACGTTTATTGGTGAGTGCGACCACACTAAGGATGCCCCATATGACTATAAAAAGAGACAAATAAGCACTCATAATGAGCCTCATGGCCCAAGCGTGTGGCTTAGGGTTGGCGCGCCTCTGGGAACCACAGACATTGATATGTGTTTCTGCCTTCAATGGAAGCCACATAAGCTAGGACCAAGTGTTATGGTCCCTACAAAAAAAGGATGGTTGGAATCAGTAGTAAGTCTACCAGACAACAGCAGATATACGCTGACACCAGCTCACGAGAAACTACTTTTAACATTTAAGTATGTAACACATTTAACTAGTTTGTTAATGCCCTCGAGGTTCTCTTGGAGTGTTTCATCGTACACCTTAAAAGCAGTTATCCTCCATCACCAGAGATATTTGCAGGGAGGGTGTCATACGGACAATATAGGTAAATGCTTCATGTCTATCATCGACATAATGCTGAAACCAAATGAAGAGTTTGATAATGAAGAAAACGTTGTGCATTTAACCAATCAACATATCTCAATTCCGGATATAGTTTACACAAAGAAAGATCTGCAGATCAGTAATGTGAAGCGAGTATCGATGCTTGTCTCAATGTTTTGGATTGCTCAGCACGTCAAGCTGAATCGTAACACGGACTGGTTTGAGGTATTTGTGCGCAATGACAAAGATGAAATTAAGAAGCACCCAACGTTAAAATCTTTAGACGACAGTTTGAAGAGATTTCATAAAATAGCTGGAAAGGGAAAGGTCGAACTTGAGTGGCAACATGACACAAGCAAGACAAGGGTTACAATAATGGGAGAGGATTTTAAAGAGGATACGTCAACGTCTGGAAGCAATGGAGTGATTCCTCCAAGGTAACGACACACTAATATTGTCCTCACGCAGATTAAAAAAAAAATTCCAAATACATAACAAGAAAAATTGAATTTATATAAGTATTCTGAGAATTCATGAACGTGTTAAGTATAAAACAGAAAGGATTGGTATCGATATGGTGAACTTCTTGAACACACGTTTCTCTTAAACCAGTCATCAAAAAATTCTAAAAATTTTACACATCTTCAATTAATGGTCATCTTTTGAATGGTAACAATATAATTTGAAAAATAAATATATATTTTGCTCTATATTGTTTTAGAAAACACATCAGACACTTCTTTTGTTCTTGGTATCATGGAATGAAATGAAACATCAATCCGAACCTCATTGGAACGAAATGACATAAACACAACGTGTTTGGGTCTCTCAATGTTGTAATTGTAAAAAGGAAAGTTGGTTGATTTAAAAAAAAGTATCTTGTTAATGAAATAAAATATTTATTATTTTTTGTATACTTTTTTAAATCAATCCAAATTTTTACAGAATATTTTCAATAATTGGTTCAAGAGAAAAACATTGTTTAATTCAGTTCACCATATCGATACCAATTATTTACCATTATTTTTCAGTAACGGTTGTTTGGACACATAGATTCCATATATGTCTGTACTTTTAAGAAATACAGGGTGTCTCAAAAAAATGTACCCAAAAGTATATCAAGAGCACAGATAAACTAATCAATATTTTCAGATATTTTTTGCATGGTCATGTAGTCAAAACATGAAAGTTTTCTCCCCAATGCACCATTTTTATTTAAGTCTTGTCTTTTTGATGCTTTAACCCTTTACCTTTAATACCACATAATAGATGTAAAATCATATTTCGATGACAGCCTGTATCCTTACCGCTACATTGTTCATCACATTTGATAATAATTCCGGTGGAATGTTTTGAATTTCTCTTGAGATGTTGCCCTTAAGTTGTTCTTGATCTTTTTGCTTGGAATGAGCATTAAAACACTCATTCAAATAGCCACAGAGAAATATGTTTGAGGATGACGATTAAAGAACAAACACAGATATCAGGTCAATTATCGGCAAATAATTCAGGAGTTACCTTCCAGAATTAGGCAGGCTAGCCTGGAGACCAAATGAAATCCAAATGAAAACACAGTGATCTCAAATTGATACACACAACAAAGGCTACACTAGAATTCCAACAAACACAGTTTCTTGAACCTCTGAACTCTCTGTATAAGGGGGCTATAAGACATTGTGAGGGCCTCCCTATTCACCATATTTGACGGCCAATACTTTTTTCTCTGAGGCTATTTGAAGGACCATTTTATGTTAAGAGACCTAGAACAACTTAAAACCAGCATCCAAACAGAAATCAAAACATTCCACCAGAAATATCAAATGTGATGAACAATGTAGTAGCAAGGATGCAGACTGTCATCGAAATATGACATTACATTGAATATGTGGTGTAAAAGGTAACGGGTTAAAGTATCAAAAAGGCAAAACTGAATTAAAAACTGTGAACAGGGGACAAAACTTTCATCTTTTATCTACAAGACCATGCAAAAAATGTCTGAAAATATTGATTGGTTTGTCTATGCTGTTGACATACTTTTGGGTACATTTTTTTGAGACACCCTATATATCACGCCCTGTGATTGAACAAAATGAGCAGAGGGGGAGATTCTTTCAAGAAAAAGTTGAGATGCACGACATGGGGAAATATATTAGGTCTTTGAGGATTTCTTTTGAACCGATGAGCTTCTAAGATTTAAGATCTATTAAAAAGGCGCAGTGTCACAAATGTGCAAATGTCAATGTTTTTGCGATTAATCAAGCAACAATTGCAATAGTCTTGACGACCAGCAATAAATACTTATAAGTGACGTAATTATCACAAAATTAACGTTATTACTTTTTCAAAATTAGTTTCCATACGTTAGATAAAAAATAATCGAAAATACTTAAAATTGAACTGTTCTAGCAAAAATCGATTACTTCCCCCTCGTTCATTTCTTCCGTTCACCGGGCTTATATATATATATATATAGTATGAACACAACTTAATACAGTTTATACCGATCTACATCATGACATTTAGAAGTCATTCCGTTTTCTATTAACGTGTCTCCACTCTATGTGTATCTAGGCCTGATACAGACATCGGTCACGATACAAAGCCACCATGTCGAAGCTCTGACACTTCCGACCAGTCGACCCAAGGGGCAGCACCAAAAACCGTGAATTCTAGGATGAAGAAAAGTGATGAATATGTAAGTCGATACATGTGTTATTTGTTATTTATTATGAGAAAAATGTAACAACCGACATAGCAATTTGAACAGTTTAATTGACATGAACCGAAATAAGTAATTTGAAATATACAGGATGCTTATAAAGTATCCTTACACATTAAATACAAAGTCTGTGTAAATCTATAGTGACTCGACTTGATGAACACCCTGTAGATTTATTTGAGAATTACAGTAAGCGTCGACGTTGAAACATCTGTGTTACAACTGTAATGATCTTTTATTTTCAAGATGTATGGCTCAATACCAACTACCCAAGACCAAGCCGATATGCCCGAACCAAGATCATTGGGACCACAAGCACAAAGCGTAGAAGCAACATTACCAGCGGAACAAGGGGCCAGCTATCAACCAGAAACACCCAGCAAGACCTGCAGTAAATATAACCCATCAGGAAAAACCAAGAAACAAGAGAAATGTGAACCAACATACGGTAAAAAGGAGGAGTCCAACAAGCACGTGAGAAAACCTACCGAAGAAAGGAAATATGAGTGTGCCAAATGCATGAATGCATTCGATTTAAAGTCTACTTTAAGTAACCATGAGAAAATCTGCCAACGAACCGATAAACCATTCAAATGTACGGTGTGTAAAAAGTCTTTCAAAGCAGAACGTTATTTAAAAGAGCACATTAAGGGCCATGAGAATCCCGACCAATACAAATGCGACATATGCGGTGATACGTTTCCCTATCGCCCAACTCTACACAGTCATAAACGAAGCAAACACAAAAACCAATAACTAGAGACGTTCGTTGATCTGGCGCATCCCTCAAGATCTGGACTTAGGAAAAGAAATGAAATAAATACCATTGTTCATCTTCCAATCTAAGCAATCACGATAGAGTTTCATTTGTGTTACTTCACAGTTTTATTTTAGAAAATTATTGAAACTGGCTAATCAAGCTTCTCTAGTAGTTGGTCTACGGTCACTATACGGCCTCCACACCGCAGTTTCCCGACATCTACGACTGTCTTACTGTACAGTCGCCGTATGAAATGTAATATAACCCATAATCACATAGCATTAATAAATCCTAGTGGTGGGACTCGCCACCAAAATGTCTACTCGAGTAGAATGATAAAGACGATCGAGAAGACGATTTTGGCGATTATTTTTTTAAAAAATTGAGAAAATAAGAACCTGGAAAATCAAGGCATTTGTCACTACTTACATCGATTTTTGGTTTAATGACCACTCAATGATGTAGTTCTGAACGAATTGAGTTCCGTCTTGGATGTTTTAGACGCACATTTACCGTATATTAGCAATGATATAAGCCTTTTATGGATTTTTTCGACTTTGAAATTCCCACTTCCGTCAAAATACATATGCGCATGCGATATATCGGATATAAACAAACATAAAAGCAATGAATACGATTCTCATACTTTTTCTCATCAACTGAGCATTAAATCAACAAAACAATCTGCACAATATAGTCAAAAGTATGTAATTTATTAGAAAAACGTAGAGGCAGCTGACTTGATGTATTAAATCCACAGTCCGACACCAAAAATATCTCAAATCACGATATCAGAAATGAACTAAAGGGCAACATAATTTTGCTTAACTTTGATTTTCTAATCACACCATGGGCTTTCAAGAGAAGGGTATGTAACTCTGTGTTATAAACATGGAAACTTCAAAATGAGCAGTGCCATGCTTCCCTTTTATGATTATATTTCAAAGAGATTTTAGATAAATGTATATTTAGTATTTTCTTGAAGGAACATCAATTTTGAATATGATAAAGCATAAAATATGTTTAATCTCATTTAAAAGTAAACAAAAATGAGCCATAAGAAAAAGAGGAATCAAAATGATGTCTTCGAATGTTGCATTGTGGGTAATTATTCAAGAACACATTCTAGTAAAAATATAATATAATATGTGAGAGAATGTCCACTTTCATTATTGCCATAATTATGATGAATTCCATTTTATATAAAATCAACAACATGTATGCAGAAAATCATGTTTTTATTTTTGAGTAATTTCTTTAAATCACGAATGAAAAGTATAAAATAAGATTTTTCTCGGAATATGTACAGGAAGCATTTTTCTCCAATTTTGAAAACCCAAGGCAATACTTATGTATGAAATGATCACACTTAACACTGTGTTGTTAAGAGAATAAGTCGTTTTAATCATTCAATTGAATACAAGAATTAAAAAAACAGCATACTACTTTCATTTTATTTGATTTCTTTGTTAAACTTTGTTCAACTAAGCAATTAACAACAAAACTTTTCAATAGTTTTATGCACTTTTTTTGTTTTATTATTACTTGCTTCTAAACTATATTTATGTTAAAGCGACCTGTAATGCCAAATGGCGATTGGTCTTGCTTACTTGTACTTTGTAAATAATTACTATGATTTAAGAATAATAAAAACATTAATAATAATAATAAAAATTTCTTTGTTATGTATTTGACATTAGGCCTACTAGTATACATTAAAATGTTTTTGAGATTTCGCAACATGCTGTTTTATTGGACCCTGCCATGAGGGGATATAACCTTATGACCCGAACGTTTCCTGTATTGCTATAGTACATTATATTAAATAATAGTAATAAATATTATTTGTTATTTTTTAAGCCCGATAATCGGGGAAATTAGTGTTGGAGGAACGACTGATTTCTACTAGAAAATTCAACAAATATGTGAGATTTATTCTTATGAGGTTTACGAATAAATCCCTAAATTAATAAGTGTTTAAAAAGGCGCGACGCCACCACCGTTTAAAATTCAATCTTTTTTAATAAATCAAGCACTTGAGATTTACAGTGACCTGTTATAAATCTGAGTATTTTATGTTTTATCCGAACTGATACAATTTTAAGGTATGAGATCTATTACACAGGCCGGTATCGAAAAAATTGTCCGCTGTGACGGAGCGTGCTATTTTGCATAGAAACACGAAGAAACCCACACAGTTTTTACTCATATGTTTTGCTATACCAAAGAAAATTACTTACTTACTCCATGCAATATAATGACACGATAATATTTAAATATGTTTTCAGCATAACTCTGAAGGTATTAATGAGATTTTTATGTATTGGGTATTTTCAATATTTTTTATAAAAAATAATGTTTGATTCAGATTAAACTAGTAAATTAAATAGTGCTTGATTAAACATTATTTTTCATAAAAAAATTAAAAATACCCAATACATCAAGATCGCATTAATACCTTCAGAGTTATGTTGAAAACATATGTAAATATTAGCGTGTCACTATATTGTACCATTAAAAAAAGAAATAAAAGAAATGGTACATTTTGGAGTATACTACTCCGGCGCCGTTTTCAATAGCTTTTACTCTAGCGTTGTTGGACTTCAAACAGAAGTTAAAGTTACCCGCAAATGATATATCCATTGCATGGAAAAATGGTCCTACTTTTCATTGATTTATATGGTGACCTAAATACAACTCTATCTCACATTATCGTATCCATAATCAGGGCCAGTAAGGGCCTTTAAGAAAGGGGACCATAATCCACAGGGGACCATAATTTCTTTTACACCGGGCGTGTACCTAGGGACAAAGTAGCTACACTAAAGATACTTTTAGATAGGCTGCTAAATATAAAAATGGCGGCCAATTTTTTAAAAAAAAAGTAATCTTTGATATCTCAAATATGAGTGAACGGATCTAGATCAAATTTTATATGATGATGCCTAACACGGTACCTCTGTTTGACAAAGTATTTTCAAGATGGCAGCTGAATTTTAAAATGGCCGCCAATTTTTTGTAAAAAATGTAATCTTTGATAACTCAAATAGCAGTGAATGGATTTTGTTCAAACTTTATAAGCTGATGCCTAGGGACACAGTAACTCTGTTTGTAATAATCATAATATTTTTGTTCGGTGGGATTTGCTACTCCGTGGAGTTGCTGTTTTTCTAGTTGGAAAATGTGTACAATTTTTAATACTTTTATTTATTAACCGGTATCAGCATTTCACAGATCAATCTTACTTGATTTATTATACGTCAACCTGACCACGTGTAGTTGTCACACTACCCTACCTCGATCGCGCATGCGTAAATTTGGGGGTTTTCAACCAGGTCGCTTTTGAGTATATTGACTGCTTAGTCAAAAGGTTAATACGTTTTGTGCTCGGAGTGAGTCAATAGAGACCTTAAGATATACGGACGACCTGTACGTGTACCTGTAATTACACGTACACGTACAGATTTTTTAAATGTTCCTTTTGTGCGCCTAAAACAAGTCCTTAGTCACTCGTCGACGTGTACCTTTACGAAACAAGGAATTAGTGGGTATCTGGTGATGAAAGTATGATATTTTAAATCGGCTTACACACGGGAAGTGTAATTTGCTTAAGGCATACAGATATACCAATGGGTGTTAGGTGTTTGGGTGAGGTAACGATTTTTTATTTATTTCCGATTGTTGCTATGTAGATATTTATCTCTTGATAATTGTCTCTTGATAATTTGAGGAGATTTGTTTGTGTGTTAATCTGCTTGATTGCTTGTTTGTTTTATGTAGTGGTTCTTACTATAAAGCACGGTGGTCTGTCTGCCTGCCAACATGTCGTTCAGCCTGTTAGCCTGTCGTTCTGACTGCCAGCCTGTCGTTCTGACTGCCAGCCTATCGGTCTGCCAGCCTGTCCGTCTGTCACCCTGTCGGTCTGCCAGCCTGCCGGCATATCGGTCTGTCGTTCTGTCTGCCAGGCTGTCGTTCTGTCTGCCAGGCTGTCGTTCTGTCTGCCAGCCTGCCAACATTCCGGTCTGTCAGCCTGCCAGCATGTCGTTCTGTCTGCCAGTATGTCAGCCTGCCGGTCTGCCAACATGTCGGCCTGTAAGATTGCCGGTCTGCCAGCCTGTCGGCATTCCGGTCTGTCAGACTCCCAGCCTGTCGTTCTGTCTGCCAGCCTGTCGGACTGCCAGCCTGTCGGTCTGCCAACCTGCCGGTCTGTCATGATCAGACTGTCTGTCTGTCCGTCCGTCCGTCCGTCCGTCCGTTCGTTCGTCCGTCTGTCCGCCCGCCCGCCTGTCTGTCTACATTCGGCCTACTTTTTTTCGTTCATGAAGTATTATCTTTCTAAATCCTAAATTTTGGGCTCAAACAAATTTGAAAAATTTGGATTTTTTTGTTATATTTGAATTTTTTTTGTTTTATTTGAATTTTTTAAAAAGAATTCAAACAATAATTTGAAAGAAATTAAAAAAAAAAAATGCGACAAAAAATTTGAACAAAAAAAAGAATTTTGATTAAAAAGTGATATTCGATGATTTGGGACAGTTTCTGCTAAAATATGATATCTTAATCCACATATCAAATATATATCTTCACGTGATATTCGATCTATATCCTTGCAACCATGGGGTAATATACGAATATTTAATTCTATTGAGGTGAATACCTGTGCATCTTTCACATGTAAGTGATATTCAACGAAGTCCGAAGGGCTAGTGGAATATCATCTTGTGAAAGTTCACAGGTATTCACCGAAAATAGAATTAAAAATTTGTTTTATTATATCACTGTCATACCATCTTCTATAATTAAATAAGTCATATGTTAACATTGAAATACATTTATATATATTTCTTCTAACAATATCACGCGGTCCTAACTCACCATGGCGTATCGAAACCAAAACGCCCCGCAAAACCGTTATTTTGAATTTCAAATCTACCCTGTCGTTGGAAAATCAATGATTGTGAGTCTCACACTACACCGTTTTTCTTCAAACTTGTTCCATTAAAACCTTCACAGAAATACTTTTCAGTCGAGACATTGACTTTGTATACAAAGTCCCTCGTTTTAGCGGCGTTTTGGTCCCCAGATGTGAGAAGTTGCAAATCCTCAGAGATTTCAACCACAATCCTTGATATCTCGTCAGTTCTTCTATCACTCTCCCCCATATTCTGCGCAAGGACTCCCATTACAACCCTCCATCGCTGCATCAACATATTTATTACATGAAACGCAGCAATTTTGAAAAGTCCTACGCAACTGTTCGAAATTGACCAAAACGCCCCGTTGTCTTTCAAAACGCCCCGCAGAGTCTATGATTA